CCTCGTCATAGGGAGACTCATAACTAGAGCTCATCATAGGGAGACTCATAACTAGCCCTCGTCATAGGGAGACTCATAACTAGGCCTCGTCATGGGGAGACTCATAACTAGCCCTCATCATAAGGAGACGCTTTTAGAGCACTTTTTCATCTTGGTTGATCCTGTAACAACTTGTAAATAAGGGGAAATGCCTTTTTCCCCGTTTCATAAGTGAGGAAATCAAAGCACAGAGGGAAAAAAGCCGTCTCTGCCAGGTCACAGAGGGAAGGAGGGAAAAGTCACAGGGACCAGAGCAGAGTCTCTGACAGCCCCCACACTCCCTGCAGGCACATGGCTGGTGCACTTCATCCGGTCCCTGTGCTTTTTCCCCTCAGATGCTGCGTTTCTGGCCCGAGAGAAGGCGAAAGCTGATGCTGAGTGCTATACTGCTATGAAAGTAGCTGAGGCAAATAAGGTGAAGGTCCTGCATGGCCTGATGAAGAGGCAACACTGGGTTTGGGTTCATATCACTTGAGAGTCCCCCTGTTGACTGCCCACCACCACCCAATGCCCCTCGTGGCCAGAACTGAGGATGCCTGTGCTGTGTGGAATGGGTGTTTCCCTTTGCCCGAGCAGTGCCTTGATAGAAGTTTAATTTTTCAAATATGGGCAGGTTTAAAACTCTTGCAACTCTGTCTCAAATATCTGAGATTACCATATTTTGCCACGTAAAATGTGATCTGTCTCAAAAAAAAAAAACCCATCTATATATATCTGGGTGTTGTGGTGGGTGCCTGTAGTTGCAGCTGCCAGGGAGGCTGAGGCAAGAGACTTGCTTTGAGCTCAAGAGTTTGAGGTTGCTGTGAGCTAATGATGCCAGGGCACTCTACCAAGCATGACAAAGTATGACTCTGTCTCAAAAAAAAAAAAAAAAAAATGGGGGTAAAAAAATGTGCATTATACACAGCAAAATACAGTACTTTTACAGAAATGGTTCCCCAGTTTGCTAATGTAACAGTGAGGCCACAAAAAGTAAATGGGGCACAAATCTTTCCCATATGAAAATCAAAGGGGTACCACCCCCAAATTTCTCTAATATTTTCCACCTAAGTCTTCCTTGTTTTGTTTTGGTTTGGTTTGATTGCAGCTGAAGCTGACCCCTGAATACCTGCAGTTGATGAGGTACAAGGCTATTGCTTCCAACAGCAAGATTTACTTTGGCAAAGACATTCCTAACATGTTCATGGACTCTGCAAGCAATCTGGGCAAGCGCTTTGAGGGGCTAACCGACAAGCTGAGCTTTGGCTTAGAAGATGAGCCCTTGGAGGCAGCCACTACAGAGAATTGAAAGCTTTATACAAACTCAGATGACTGAAGGAGATCTTTATTTTTTAAGATGAACCAGAATGCGCCCCCTTCCCACGCTACATTCTTTGACTCTCTTCAAGTTACTATGGTGAAAAAGAAGAAATGGACTTAAATCTACTCCCCTTCCTGGGAAGGGAGGGCAGGGATTGATGATTTGGGATTTTATTCAGGTAAGTAGGTAATATGACTTCTGATAGGATTTGTAAACCATGGGTTTGAACCTTTGACTTCCAGACACTAACTTTGTCCTTTGGAGCTGGCTCACTGGGGGAGCTGTCATTAGGGAGGGAGAGTGCAGAGTGGTGCCTCCAAGTGGTTTGTGTTCCCTTATTTAGGAAAACACAGTCCAGCGTTCTCTCCCCTGCTTCCAGGTGGGAGATGTCTGTGGGTGAGGCTCTGCAACTGAGCAAATATGTGCTTGTCAGTTTGCCAGAGGAGCTAGAGAGAAAGGCTGCTGGGAACATTTGACCCTGCTGGCATTTCATCAGCATGTGCTGAGTTATTTTAGAGGCATGCTTTCTTGAGCCCTCATAAGGCAGCATTGGTGCTAGGTTTTGCAAGATTTTCTATACACTGTGCTCCTTGCCTGAGGGCTCAGAGTGCCAGTTTCTGACTACATCTCTCGAGGCCAAGCACAGTCACCACCACACGGTTCTTTACTCAAACTTACCACCTATTGTGTGGTTTGGATTTTTCTTCTCAATCTGATTCTACTCAGCATCAAGAAGACAGAAATAAACAACTCAAGTGTCTTCGTAGCTGCTGAAGTGGGATCCTTATAGCTATTAGCCACTGCAGCTCCTTCTTGGCAGATGGTGTATGTGCTTAGAGATCAAGTGTCTTTATTGGGGAGATTCTACAGTGAAAGGCTCTGACATCATGCACAGAGGGGGCTAAAGGATCAGTGAAGAGATTTCCTAGTCTGAATGCCTATAACTTGTGCTGGGAATCTGTCTGAAATCAGGATACGAGCAGACCTTCCTTTACATAGCCTTGCTTTTACATCCAGGGCTCCATGTGCCACACAGAGGTCAGACAATGTTAAATCTCCAGAAATGTGATGCAGCTCTAAGTCAGAGTTCATGCCCAAGTCCCTGGGTTGGAATGGCTGCATCACAATGTTTTCTTTTTCATTACTGGTTAGGAAAATTTCACATCACTCTGAGAGATTCAGGTCAAGGAAGGCAAACATGAAAGAAAGGTTTTTCTTATATCCTGAAATTGGGATTAAAGGTAGTAGGGGTGGGGGGGATCCAAACCATGTAGCCTGTGAGTTGTATACAAAATTGTTATGTGGACACCGCTGTCTGGAGTAAACCAGCAAGCACGCTGGGACCCTCCTTGCCAGCTCAGGCTTAGCATTTGGCTTTATTATTAGCTGTAACGCCCCACGCCGGAAAATATCTCCTACTGTCCCCCTCTTCCCAAGGTGAATACTACCAAGGATACTTGCTGGCACCAATCCTCACCTCATTTTTGGTTCCATGCCCAGATTTTTGGTTTATCAAATGGTCCCAGAACTTGGGTCAGCTTGCTTAGGAGTTTGAGGAGCTTTCAGCCTGCATAGAAAAATACACTGTTGACCCTTCTTACTTCAAATGTTGCTTTTCTCTGTTTTAATTCCCAGGACTTAAGAATTCTCAAACCAGGGGTCCTGGTCACATTTTGCACAGACACCATGATATTCTAGGAGTAACAGGGTTTAATGTGCTCAAGAGCCCCTTGCAGAGGGTGATCCAGTTTCCCAAAGATGAACATAGGGTATGGATTGTTAAAACACAACCACTGTCACATACGCTCTGCCCCATCTCTTGCTGCCTGGACCTCAGAAAACACCAGTTTGCCACAATAGAGTCAGGGCAGGATCCTTTAGCCTCTCTGAACAGCAGGCTTTGCTTGAGTTCTTTACTTGAAAGCCTCTTGGGTACCAACATCCTGTGATAGTTTATCCCTTGACCACAAAAGAGCCCCGGTGAAGTCCTATGACAGCTGCCCCTCCATGTTAATGTCACTTCTCATTAAACAAAAAGTATAAATTCTCTACCTGTCTGAACAGTAAAATCATGGAAGCTATTTCCATGGCATGGGACTTCTAGCCCATCTGTCCGTGTGACTTTGCTTTTTTAACACTTAGTAGAAAATCTGATCTTAAAAATTCTAAACATGTAAAATGTGACAGCCTGCAATTTTGTAGACAGTGAAGTAATGGCTGCTATTTATAAATGGAACTTCTATCAAAATAAGTAACTGTTTATAAAATTCAGTTTTTGTAGGATTTTTCCAAGGAAAAGTCACCTTGGTTGAATGTTTCTCATTAAACTTCGCGGAAGCAGGTCACGTCCAGTACTGTGTTTAATTGCTTTTTAATATAAGGACAGAATGTTTGCAAGGAAGCCAAAGTTTATTAATAATTTTTATATAACTAAAATAAAATAGATTGGGAGAGATCTGTGATCATATTAAAGGGGGGAGGGGGATCACTGGAAGAGTCTTAGCAATATATTCATCCAAAAAGATGTTTTATAAATGATCTTTAGCAGTTTCTATGGGTCTGTGTACCTGTCAACATTAATAACTTCACCATTGAAAGAGGATAAATAGTGAAAGTAAGATGGTCTTATTCACTGATGTTTTCTATTTAAGTTTCAGGATAAATAATGTTTTGGCCAGTGGCTGCTCTGTGTCTATGAACTTAACCACTACTTCTTTAGTTCTGTTCAATAAGGTTCTAGCCACTGTTTTTGTTGTTTCATTATAAAAGAGGTAATAGCCAATCATTTTGTGTTTGTATTGCCATTCCTTTTTTTATTTCTGCTTCTATGTGGAAGTGATTGAATAGTCAAACTAATTCTACTTGCAAAGAGTCCCAAGGGTGTAATGACCGCCCCTCATTTGTAACTGTGAAACAATTCTTGTTTTAGCAATCGTCCTATAAATGATACTGCTGGATTAAATGCCTTGAATTAATAGCCGGAGGAATTGTTTTGGACAGCACTAAAGGTCCTGTGTGAATTTATGTCTTAGTTTCCTTTTCAGTCCTGCTAAATAAAATGAGTCTTTGTATTTGCTTTTTTATTAAAGTGAAATTTAGCAATAGCTAATATAAGAATAGCTGATATAAAGAATAAAACATCCCTGACTAGCAAAGTATAAGATCTCCCTTAAAATATATTCAGATGAGAATCTATCCCCATTATCAAAATAGAAACAATAAAAAACTAATTTGTGAATATGACATAATTCTTGGTAGGTGTTATAGAGATGTATCATTTTAAATAACTCGCACGTGCAGTTCAACTCTGAAAGGCAGAGATATTTTCAATTGACCCCACACTCATTTTTATATCAATTCAGGAAGTCTCAGTCTCTGCTGTGGAAAGCTGCCCAGCCTAGGGTTCCAGATAAAATATAGGCTGCCCAGGTAATTGTGAATTTCTGATAAATAAGAAATAATTTTTATTATAAATATTGTATGTTCCAAACACTACATGAGACATACTAAAAAATCATTATTTACCTGAAATTCACCTTTAACTGGATATCTTATATTTTTATTTTTTCGAATCTGGTAAACCTACCCCAGGCTTTCTCAGATTTTTTAATGGAGCTCCCATTCTTTATTGGTTTGAGAACCTGCTACACAAATAATATAAACTTATAATTGAACATAGGTAAGTTAAGAGTAAGGTTATTAGTGTTAAACTACCTAAGTTCAGATCACTGCTCTACTGCTTCCTAAATGTGCAGTCTAAAATAAGTTTTTTAACCTCTCCAAGCCTCAGTTTCTTTATCTGTAAAATGGGTTGAATGGATTATATAAAATAATGCATATCAAGGGTTCAGCAGTTTGCCTAGCGTATATGTTTTCAAAACTTATTTTAATCACCTGGGAAAATGGGTTAGCTAGCACACAACTATTAAGTGGAAAGTCAAACAAATGTGAAAAGCTAGAATAAAATGACAAGTGATGTAGAGGAAGAAGGGACAGCACTGCTGCACAGCAGACGCAGTGCTGAGAGCACAGACCGCTGTAGAAACAAACTGTGGAAAATAAATGGGTTTGACCCTGTTGAGAGGAATTGGCCAGTTTGGGGCTCCAAGAGAAAAAAAACTTAGAGGCTAGAAAGAAAACAAAATGTTAAAATCTTTTTCCAAAAAAATGTAGTTAAGAAATAAAACTAATGGATTGAACACAAAGAGGCAGAGGGAAATTTAACAACTTCACGTTAATAAAGTTGGTCAGCTACCTATTCTCTAGCCCCTCAGGATCCAAAGAGGAGGAAATTAGCTTGAAGAACAAATCTCTTTTTTTCTTTTTTTATTGAGACAGAATCTCACTATGTCGCTCTCAGTAGAGTGCTGCGGCATCACAGCTCACAGCAACCCCAAGTTCTTGGGCATAAGCGATTCTCTTGCCTTAGCCTCCCTAGTAGCTGGGACTACAATGCCGGGCTATTTTTTCCTTTCTTTTTTTTTGGCAGGCCCAGGGCCAGTTGGAACCTGCCAGCCCCATGCATGTGGCCGGCACCCTAACAGAGTATGGCGCCCAGCCAGAATAGATCATTTTTAAAAGAATTTACTTAAGATGAAGCTGGCTGAAGTTTGAAGTGGGGAGAAGTAGAGAATAAATCCAGGGATTAGCATAGACAACATCTCTGATGGTCTTCAGGAATTGGTACTATTCGGTTTAAATGTCATTCTAATATGAAAGATCAAATGATCTCCAAAGGTTACGCTTAGGTCTAGGGTTCCAGAATCTCTGTTGACATTTCAAAAGCCACATGTGACAGCATGTTTGCACAGGGATTGCTGTCATGGGCTACTCTACCTGAATTCATTTAAACTGGGACATGGGCATTATTTCTCCATTTCTCTTCAAGAGCTAAGTAACCAGGCAACAGTAATTTTCTATTATCTTTTTTTTAATCTACCTAAAAGAATCACAGTAGGCTCAAACGGAAACTGTTTTCAGATGAATCGTTCTCATAATTCAGGGCCTTGGACTACAGAGGTGAATGTTTTGGTTTGGTTTGGTTTTTGGGACGAAGTCTCAAGCTGTCGCCCTAGGTAGAATGCTGTGGCATCAGAGCTTACAGCAACCTCAACTCTTGGGCTCAAGTAATCCTCTTGCTTCAGTTTTTCTATTTTTAGTAGAGAAGTGGATCTCACTTTTGCTTAGGCTGGTCTCAAACTCCTGAGCTCAAGCAAACCACTTGCCTCGGACTCCCAGAGTATTAGGATCGTAGGCGTGAGCCACTGTGCCTGGCCAGAGGTGAATGTTTTAAAACTTGATGGCATTTATGGCGAATAAGTATACTAGGCTTTAGATTGTTCATAAAATCTGTTCCTCTGGGTATTTGGCATTTTAACCTTTCTCTTTTCCCTTTTGTCCTGGCAAATTATTGAAGCATTTTAAAGTCAATTATTGGTAATAAAGGGATTTTAGACTTGCATTTATTTTATTTTATTTATTTTATTTTATTTTATTTTATTGCAGTTTTTTGGCCAGGGCTGGGTTTGAACCAGCCACCTCTGACATATGGGGCCGGCGCCCTACTCCTTTGAGCCACAGGAGCCGCCCGACTTGCATTTTTCAAGATTAGATAGTAAGGGAAGATGAAAGGTTAAATTGGATTCCTAGCTGGTGTCCCACGAAAAAGAAGAAAATAAGAAAAAATTTAAAAAATTCAAAATTACAACTCAGAAGTGAAAAAATTAGAATGTAAAATAATCATGGGACTGAGGTCACTGTGATGTGTTTATCTTCACTTCCATTTTCATAAGAGCATAGAATGTTA